TTACTTGACATAGATTCAGGCCGATCTACAGTGAATTAAATACCAGGGAGGAAACGTCAGCAGAATGAGACGTAGATAGGGTGTCGATGAAGGGTCAAACTTATGTTTGTCATCGAAATTACCCCCCCCCCGGAAGCGACAAAATTTACGAAACTGGAACGAGTTTTCGCATGACAACTTGGATATTTTAGACCAACCACTACTTATCGAAATTAAAATGTACCAATTCAACCCAACAATTTAAACTACCCACATTCGGAACAATCTAAGAGATTATAGATAGATTTAAATTTCATTTTTTATGGAAATGATATTTTTTCGTAAAATGGAATGCTTTTATCAAATAGAGTAATCTGAAGAAGGATTTGTCGTGTTTTTAAATTTAATATCAATTTTTTTAAAATGTTACATAATTGTACAAATATTTTGAAATCAAGCCTTTGTAGGAGATATTATAAAGAAAATAGAAAGTTTCGCTTATTTCCCGACGCGATGTGCTTCTTTTTGGAAGGCTTTTAAGGTCATGACAGGGCCGTAAATATTCTCGACGCATAGTGTTGACATATGCCAACAACCAGCTCTAATTCATCTGACGCCGAAAGGAAACTGACATCTGAGATCACTCGAGTTAAGAGAATGTATGACTGCGCCACACCCATCTCAAACATCATTCGCCACTTTTCTCTTCATTAAAGCAAACATACCCGATATGAAACCTGACTTGAACCTCGAGGTGTGAATCGGCGTTCGCGTACAGCTTCTAAAACCGCATAGAAATAATTTTTCACCATGAGTTTTACATGAGAGTTCATGCCAATCTTTACCCACTGTTAATCTCCAATGATTCACACACCCCCCCCTGAAATGTAGCAACCAATTTCCTTGCCTAGAGTAGCTTCTCAGTCATCATACACGCGATCTGAAGATAAGGATAATGATTCAATCATTATTCCTGAAGGTTGATCTTGCAGAGGTTAGGGTAAGATAAAGAAATCAGTACGAGAGGTGAGTAATTACAATATCCGTTCAACCGCTGCAGAGATTAACAATTGAGATTTCCTTAACCCTTTCCAAAATCAATGAGATTGCGGAATGAGGGAGTCCAATATCTTTTTACATTGACAAAAGTAAAGGGCAACCATCAAATCAATAATTCAATAATCTATTAACATTGGGAATATGAAAATCTTAGAAAAATCTAGCGGTTAATTTCAGAAAATATGCTTTACTATTTGGATATAAGGGACCCAGCATCGCATGCGTACACAAAGAGAACTGCTCAGATATCTAACTATTAATGTTTACTCAAATTATGCTAGATTAATTTTCTAACACAATCTGCAATAAACGTATTCTGTGTAATACGTCCCTTTACTTCAAAATTTCGTTGTAGCCTAGCTAGTTCTGGGAATCTAGCCAGATATAGGAGATTCTGCCATAGTGATTTCGGAGTCTGTCAAGGCTTTATTAGTGTAGCAATCCCCTACAAATTCTAAGGCTGAAATGTGAATGTTTTTTCCCACCTATTTTATCATAATATATGATTATATGAAAGCAAATTTATTTGTAGCAAAAGAATCAAAACTCAAATATAAGGCCAACTTTTATTACTTTAAATGATTAATTTATGAGAGATATTTTCTTCACTTGTCAGTTGCAACCGCCTAATGAAATACGACAATTTGGTATGTGATTTGTTTTAGAGGCAATTGCGTGCGTATTAATAGAAATCCAAAATTGTATGAACATGAGATTTTTTAGAAAATCATAGTGTTTTATTTCCGCAAATAATTTGTTTTGCATAACCGAAACGGTTGCTATTAATGTCCATTCACTAAATACTTAATGAGCATTAAAATGGCAAAGGTAAAATCGTGGCTCTTTGCTGACATTTTAAAGAAAAGAACGAGAGGAAAATTGCTATTTTTAACTCCACCGCTACTTTCTGCCCTTGTGCATTTAAACAAAACCTTATCAAGATAGTGCATCATGTAATAAAGTGGCTTTCAAGGATTATTTTGCTTTTTATTCACAATATTCAATGAGTAATCAAGAAAATTCAAGAGATTGAAAGGCGACTAGATTAAAACTGAGTTTCTCTTAGAGAATCCGAGAAATTTGATTTACCACAAATTAGCTTCAAGATAGCAAGACTGATTTAAGTAATTTATTTACTAAAGAGCCATAGTGATATCAATTCGATTGAAGTGAGGAGAAGTTGGTGGATTGGTGAAAGTCAACAGACTTTCAAATGAGCAAAAATAAACATTTGACCTAATTTAGGATCAGGATGTGTAAAATCAGCCCAGAGGAATTTTCTTGCGCTTATCCAAACAGGTTATTTAACGAACTCGCCAAAAGTGTGTGTCGTTCGCCTTTCTGTGAAGTACTTCATCATCAAATAAGGCGATTTATACTTTTATAAGTAAAAATCTCCACCCGTTTTAAGATATCACTTATTTTTTTAACAAACACTAGCACTATGCCCTCGGGAAAATTTCTAAGTACAAATCAGGTCCACCATAATCGGTCATTATAAAATAAGACTTATTAATCATAGACAAGTGTACAATAACTAATTGCGATTGCAATAATATGCCCAACATAACATTTTGACATAGTAAAATAATTGTTATAAAATTCATCCTTTAGCAAGAAATAAAGTTTTTTAGGGGAATAAAAGAAAATGACATCAAACAATATTAATTTCCAACCCATATAAACATTATGGAAATAATGATTAAACATAAAATTTCCCTTTAATTCTACCATGTTTACTTTTGCTTTAAAACAAAATTTTTCCTTACATTTGTGAGCTTATTTGGCTAAAACACGAAGTCACAAGTTGTACATCCGATGTCAAGGCACTGACTTTCAATGGGGAAAGGAAAATTCTGCCAGCACTCACCTTCTATTCCTTAACAGACAAATTCAAAAGTAAGTAAGCAAAAAAATATTGATTGAAAGTTAAATATTAATGGGAATTGATGTCGCTAATAGTAATGGGGGATCATGATCATTTTATTCTAGATTCCTTAAAATAAAGCACGGCAAAATGGGAATCTTTTTAATAAGACCTTGTTGGTAGTAGATAGGGCGCTAATAATCGCTTTCAGGAGCGTACCGATAGGGATATATATATATATATATATATATATATATATATTGATATAGGGATATGTTAAAAGGTACATTATTAATGCAGATTTGCCCTTTTAATTCAATTTTTTGCCAAACCTCTTTTGGTGACAATCCTACCTCTCACCATGCTGTCTGTTCTACGAAGGTCCTAGACCCAATCAACCCTCATGTTCCCTTCCTTGTCAGCCACTTCTTCCCTACTAACCCCTCTGAATTTTCATCTAATTTATCTAGGGAGTCCGAAGTTGGGGAATATTTCGAATTTTTTCAATAATATTCCATGGTTTGATGGCTTTAGTAATGTATTTAACCTAAATTAAATCGATGAAAAACACGAAAATAGCTTCAAACTCGTTTTAATGTTTTGACAGCCTATCCCTGATCACTTCTGCCACCAAATTTTATGAATAGATTTCGATCAAAAAACATTCAATCAATGCCTAGTTTAGTGAGTTCAAGTAACCTTAGAAAGCAGCAAACATGACATAACAAACACACTCGAAGTCCACTTAATGATTTACATATGCCTATATGAATTTTCACAGTATATATTATTGTGTGTTCAAATAAAATAAAAAGTCACGATTGATTTTTTGAGCAATCAAAGTGACTTAATTGCTAATGCATAATCTATTCAATTAATGTCAAAATAACAATTGTTATAAGGTGGATATTAAAGACAAAATTGTATGATGAGTTAATTTGTGGCAACTCAAAATACCAGAAATCAACGTTTAACAGAAAAAATAATGAAATGAATCTCATTTACAGGCAAATAATAGCACGAAACTATTACTAAACAAACAATATGGTAGTCAGTTGCAAGTAATTTCCACTCGATGATATAAATTGAATGTAAGATTTGACTCATGAAACGTGAAAAAAGTAATTAAGACATATAGTTAGTAATTTAATACATATATAAGAGAACTTTGGACACAATGTAAAAATGACAAATGAAAATCTTATGCATAATCCAAGCTGCATAGGAAATCACTCACCAAACTTTGAAGGCGTTCGATGTCAAGCATCAGCATCGAAACTACTAAAAGTCCTTCAAGAACAGCGAGTGTAATAATTACGCACTGAAATTTCTTCCCATGAAGGAATTCCTGCAGTTGTCCATTAAATTTAGCATAGTCAATACCCATTATATGGTGCTTCCTTTATTCAATTTGGCCGAAAAATCAAATAAAGTCAGTAAATCTTTAGTCTTTGAAAGGAAAATTTCATACATATTTGGAAATCAACATTTAGTAGAAAATTAAAAAATTCTGTTGTAAAAAGAAATTCAGAAAAAAATAAACTAAAGTCTCAAAAGCTAAGTACAGCATTATAATAAATAAGAAAAGATATTGGTTAATTTTTAAAATACACAAATGCCATTATCAAATTTAAAAATGTTCATGTGTATAAGGTCGTATTATTCCACGAAAGGTCATTAAAATGGTTGATACAAAGTAAAGTCATATGTTATGAATAGCACAATCAAAAATCAATTTATTAATTTATAATTTAAGTGATTTATATATTTATTTTAATTATTGAGGGAAGATCTTTATCGAAATAACGAAGCAAAATTGCCAAAATAATGAATAAATTTCACGTTAATACTACGAAATAAATATTTATCATTTAACGCTCGTTAGTTTTAGATATAATGTCTGCTCATAACAATTCTTCTAAATTACTCTCTGGTTATGTTATATTTTAAAATTTCAAGGTTAAATTTCCGTTCCTATAAAATATTCATCAACTTTTCAATGTAAAATTACCGGATTTAAATCGTACACGAATATATTGATTTTGTATTTCTCATAATAAGTAGTGTTGTGTTTATTTTATTTAGACTACATAACATGAAAACTCGTAGTACTCCAGAAGAACCTCCTAACATAGCAGCTGGCGTAAAAGCTCGAAGGACAGCTCGTATGGGCTCTCCGTCTTTACGAGTAAATACCGATTTGCAAAATGATGAAGGCAGTAATTCTCAACCTGGACCATCAGCCTCTCAACAGAAAACTGAAGAGCCTGCCTCCAAACCGCGTCAAAGTAAATCATACTGTCTCTTTTAGCTATTTGCATTGTTAGAACCAAAAGTTCCTTTACGAGAGCTGTGGACACTAGAAGACCGAAGGTTATTCTTTGAGGGTGTTCGTATTGTAAGTTGGAATTCCATGAATTATTTGTATTTTTAGTATGGTCGTAATTACAGAGAGATCGCTCGTTATATCCAATCTCGAGGCCATCGAGTGGATATATCCACGGGCGCTTTTGCTAATCAAGCTTCAACATCTTGTGAAGCCTCAGGTACTGCAACGAAGCCAAATGCCCCAACCGTAATTTCTCCAGTTGCAGCTGCTGCCGGTCTATTGCCTAATAACCCCGCAACTGCACAATCTGTAGGTCGTACCAAGGCCCAAGTGCGTGTGTTCTATCAGCAAACTTGGCACAAACTTCGAAAGTACGTCACCTTTCCTGAGGAGGTTCCGTTGCATGTTCGTGAGGTCTATGCCATTGTCAACTGGTCGGTCATGCGTTCACGCATCAAAAAAAGTATGTTTCCTTCTTTGGTCCTTTCGAATGTACTGCATCATAGATTCCCTTTTAAAGAGGATATTCTCATTGTTCATGATACCTATTCTGTCAGTTTTATTCTGGATTTCTGCCCTATAATGTCTGATGTTGATCAGGCTATCTCTGTTTACTTCCATTTTTACACAGACAGGAAAGTAACATTCCGCCACTCGTTTGTTCAATGTCATGCATCCTTTCAATAGGTGGGTATTTATATAAGTTAATACGTGCTAGAATTGAGAGAATAAGTAAGTGATAGCTAAGGGGTTCGTATTTTTAATATTGTAATTCTAAAGACCATTGATTCAAACTCACCTTCGGTAAACTTTTCTATATTTATTTATTTATTTCAAATGGCTGGCTTTATGATATTTATCA